GATGTTATTTTGACAAAAGCAGCCCACCCCACCATGCTCCGCGTACACGCCATCCAAGCAGTGGTGGATCTTATTCTCCTCGATCATGCTGCAGAACGATTTATTGCCGATGTAAAACCCGATTGGGGATTCGTAAATATCGTTCCCCTTCCAATGGGTTTGGTCGTTTGAGAACCAGCTATTATAAGAGACGTTGGCGACCCGATTTCCATGGATGGCGTTTTTGCTAAAGACGGTCGAGGTGTCGCCCTGAGCGGCGATTGAGTTGAGATCGGAGTTGAGTTGTTTTAACGGAACCGAGGTCTTCCCTTGGAGGAGAAAATGCACGCAGGATGCGGCGTAGCAGAGATCCGCACAGACGCCGTAATCGTGGTTGTCGTAAATTTGATTTTCCTCGACATGGCCATTGCAGGACGCGCTCAGCAAAACCCCCGCATATCGGTTCTGGAAGATCTTGTTTCCTTTGACCTGGCATCCGACGTTTTTCAGTCGAATCGTGCAGTGCCGGTCGGTGAGGTGGGAAACATTGGGCCCCGACAAATTCGCGCTGGGGTCGCGAGAGGCGACGGTGTTTTTCTTGAGCGAGGGCAAGATGGATCCGCTTCCCGGGATCGATTTCACAGGGGCGCAGGCCGAAATACTTGGAAGACTCATGGCCTTTGATTTGAGATAAATGGAGTTGACGGTCACCGCGTTGGACTGCATTGAGGAGCCCAGTTGAATCCCAAAGCCGTTATCCCTGAGCGAGTTGCCGAGATACTTCCCGATCCCATCGTGCGCGACCAGTATGCCGGATACCTGGTTAAGGTAAATGGTGTTATCCTTAAAAACCGGGTCACCCTCCTGCGATGTCAAGACCCCGAAGCTTTGGCAGGAGCGGATCTCGTTGTTCAGGAACATCCCCTTCCCTCGATCCGTCACGAAGACCCCAATGGGCTCACTGCGGATGTGGTTCTTCACGAAGTTCGGATTCGCCCCGTCGGTGATGTGGACGCCGTATTGGTTGTTTTCGTAGATGTGGTTTTCGACAAAAGACCCGCTGGAGCCCTGCGCGCACAGTACGCCGCAGCCCGAGCTCGCGGAGTTGATCATATTCGCGACAAAGGACGGATCCGAGTGCAGGCCCACCACCAGCACATTCGCCACGACGTTCTCCGCGATGTGGTTCTTTTCAAAAAGCCCGATCCCCTCGCTGTGAACGACGACGCCGCCCTGAAGGCCCTTCAAGATGGTGTTATGCCGTAGGACCGGGAAGGACCCGTCGGAGACGACGACGTTCGCTTGCGTGTTTTCGCTGATATCGTTCTGGACGAAATTGCCAAGCGCGTTGTTTCGCGCCAAAATCCCTACCTTGAGGTTCATCTTAATCCGATTCCGCTCGACGTGAGGGTCCGCATCCAACTCGAGAACGATCCCATTGCCATTGTGGAGGATTACATTCTTGTAGATGGTGCCGATGCTGCAATTGGTAAAAAACATGCCCGAGCCTGGAGAAGAGTTAAACTGGTTGAACGCGATATAAGGGTTCGAAATTTCGCAACAGTTAATTTGGGTTAGGTTATTGCAAAATAACTTGTTGTGGAAAATAAGGGGGGAGCTTTCGCTGCTGATATAAATTCCGGCCTGGTAATTCTTCGAGATTAAATTCGCCACGATTAGTGAATAGCTATTTTGGGTCACCAAAATCCCTGATCCGGTCTGACTTTGAATGATGTTCGCCGCGATCACGCCGCCCGAGAGATTATTCGCCTCGATTCCGTTATTCGAGCCCATGGCGATTTCGTTTCCGATGATCAGCGGTTCGCAGAACTTGTGCAGCACAATCACCGCCTCCAAGGAGGATAGAAAATGGCAGCCGGTGATCAAAGGATACGCGCCGGAATCGATCACGACGGCTCGGCTTCTACAATCCTCAAATTCGCAGGATTCGACGATCCCGTAGGTATGCCGTCCAAAGCGAATTGCACAAAGCGAGCAATTAATAAACTTCGTCATGCTCACATGCACCGAACGGTTGCCCATCCTTTGGAGTATTTTGCGTTTCTCCCTTTCATCCGAGATGTTCGGGAGAACAAGACCTATTGAGGATTTTATCAGATCGGCGTATTCATTGTTGTTTTTTACCGATTCGGAATTGCCGGCTTCTTCGGACATATAAGAGGGCGGTGCCCCAGAAATAAGCTTAAAGGAATCTTTTAAGCAAACGGGATAGGCACGGAGGACGGTGTGAATAAGTCCTGTTATATAATTTAGAAGATTCTGCAAAGAATAATAGGTGCCATGGTAAAAAACGCGTTGGTTTGCATCCTCCGGGCCGTAGGTGAAGCTTCCCGAATCTTTCATCGCTTCTGGCACTAAAGCACATTCCGGAGGGGTTTTGAGGATATCGGAAGAGGAGATCCAGTTAAATTGTTTCTTTTGAGTTGGCAATTCGGCGGAGAACAGGTGCTCGGGATCGATATTTACGCCGCATAAATGCCGCCCAGTGGAAGAATGGACGACATCGATCCCAATACAACAAGTATCCAGAACGTTGCATTCGGTGATGCAGAACTGCTGATCGAGAAGCGAGGGAATGTACCCATTGTCGATAAGCGCCAAAATCCCACAGCGTCTCTGAAGACGGATGCTATTCCGCTCAATTTGCGCAGATCCGGGAGAATCCAAGTAGATCCCGATCTCACCTTCGGTTAGCTCGTTTTCGATGAGGGCTGGGGAGGCTCCGTTGGAGATGACCACACAGCATTGCGCGCCATAGGCGTTTATCAGCGCATCATCACTGAAGCTGTTTTTCAATAAAGTATCGGACTCCTTGGTATCGCGATCGCTTTCCCGACTGACATAGATCACGCAGGCCGTGATCTTAACCCGGCTACAGCTATTCACCGTGCGAAAGGAGTCCCCCAGGGCGATGGAGTTCCCTCCCGAGGTGAGCATCAGCACATTCCCGCGAAACCCCACGCTGTTAAAAAGGGTGCACTCCGTGAGCTCGAGCTCCTCGTAGGTGTCGATCTCCGCCACGGCGAGGGCGTGGGAGTGGATCACCGTTCGGGTGATGCGGCCGCCGCCGGAGTCCTGGACGATCAGGCCGTAGCCGCTGCCGCTTTCGGTGATCACGCAGCCCGTGATCTCCGCCCGCGCGTTCCCCCCGATCAGCACCGACGAAAAGGAGCAGCCTTGGCAGAAAATCGCCCCCCCCATCAACATCAGCCCCGCATCCAGGCGGCTGTTCCCCTTGCACACCACCATGAGGTTCTCCAGGTAGACCTTCACCCCCGCGGCGACGGTGATGGGGGAGGTCCGCGAGATAATCCGCGGCTCCTCGCCCTCCGAGGCCACGATTTCGATCGGGATGGTGAGCGAGATGGACTCGAGATAGTCCCCGCCGGAGAGCTCGATGCGGTCATTCGGCTCCGCGATCGACAGGGCAGACGTGATGAAGCGCTGGAAGGCGCTTTTCGAGTGCGAGTTCACGAGAATCGTGCGAACTTTTTTCTTCTGCCAGGCACTGTAACGCTCCTCGATGACAAAGCCACTCTCTATTTTTTTAATTCGATCCATCGCGCCTTTTATATATATATATATGTTAAGAGTGGGTTTTCGTGTAGGCAAAAAGGGATAAGAAAATACAAAAGCAAGAAAAAAATGAAATAAATTTGAAACAATGAGTATTTCTTGTCTAAAAATGAGGTTTCTTTTTATTCGGAAGACAGTTAGAAAGGATACTGTTGAAAAAAAAAGTTTGAATATATATGCAGTTCTTTTTCATATAGTGAATGATTTCTGCAACCTTCGGAGGAGAAAGAACTGAGGGAAAAAAAAAGACTAATAGTACCTTCGCAAGACATACACAATAGGCTTTGAGATCATAAGCACATACCCACTAGAATCGGTACGCATATCATTCAAAAGAAAAAAAATGCTTTTATAGATGCTCAAACCATTGTGAAGTTTTTGGAAAGTGTTCCATTCAGATAAGACCGTAATTTTCTCTCCAATAAAATGTACTTTTAGTAATAAAAAGAAGAAAAAATCAACGGGCCTATAGAAAAAATAACCGCAGGTTAGGAGAAGATATTGCTTACCAAACTGACGTATCCTTTTTACCTCCCCACCCACCCTTTATTAATTTCACTAATGTATGTACAATACAAATGGACTAAATGCAACAATCGTTCCAAAATAAAAGCTGGAGATTTATCATTTTCATCAAAACTTATGACTTATAAAATAAATATATAACCAACTCACATAAGAAGACGTGTTGTTACCTAATCTTCTCATATTTGGACTTTTTGATTTTCATTCCTCATAAATCATAAACTTCAGGATCGGATGAAAACAGCTCCAGATCTCACATTTCATGGCTACAAAAGTGTCATGCTTTACGTGAAAAACACACTTTTGTTGACTGGTGTGAGTGTGTGGAGGTGGGAAAGAGAGAGAGAGAGAAAAGGGGATGGGGGGCACTCTTTGGAGGACACCTTTACAAATAATATACACATGCTTCATACTTACCACATAAAATAGTTTAAAGCCACTTACAAAATTCAAAGATTTTCGCACCATAGTTGTATAATTTCGATGATTCTGAATAAAATAAAATAAAAATCAGACATCCAAATAATTGCGCAGACATAAAAAAATGACGTATCGTACCTAATTAACTCCGGTCCGAGCTGTGTGTCATTTACTGCCGTGTCTCTTAAATTGTGAAGAAAAAGTAGTTCAACATGCCAAGACACTTTGTTGAATCCCTCGTTAATCCATAGGTTGGTGTATCGCCTCGATAGTCTTACTTTTGTTTTGCTTAATACTCTTAAATAATTTTTTTTACCGTTTTCAAACAACCCTTGGTCATGAGCAAAACCATTGATTTTGCTAGACTGCAACAATGGTAGTAATAAAGATAAAACAATTCCGCCTTAATTTACCGATTCGTTTCCAGACTTTAATAAATTTATTGACAATTCTTTAAGCATCAAAATATTATCAACCTATCACGCATCTGACTCATCCATGACTACGTAGCTGCGTCTTCGGCCGCGTTGACGTGGTGGTTTAAGCCTCTTATAATCATGAACTTCACTCATATCATTATTGGTGATTGAAATACCTGAACGACGCATCACCTCTTCAATGTACTCCTTGTCAAACTCCTCCTCCTCCTCTTCGTCGCTTTCTTCATCGTCATCCTCGTCGTCGTAATCGATAAATTTATCACAGATAAGTTGATAGTCGATCGAGGAAGCGAAATAGATCATGCACGGCGCCTCAATGCAGAGCCCGATGGTGATGCCCAGGCAAACCCCAACGATATTAAGGCCTAGCGGCTGGCCGAGGATAAATGAGATTGGAACGCCAATGCACCAGAGGCTGATGAGCAGAATGGCCGCGCCGAGGTGGTTCTTACCTAAACCACTAAAAATACCCTGGAAGGTAAACTGGATGGAATCGGCAATGAGGAAAAAGGGCAGAATATAAAGCACATGACGCGCCATAACCAGAGTTTGTCCTTGAATCCCATACAAAGACATCAAAAAATCGTAAAATGAGATGAGAATGACGGAATTCAAAACCCCAAAGGCAAAAGAGAGGAGAACAGACAAGATGACATATCGCTGCGCGCTTTTCGGCTCGTCCGCGCCGATGCACCGGCCGATATTCGCGCACGATGCAGTGCTCAACCCCCCGGCAAACGAGGCAAAAATAAATAAGGAGTTTATAATCCCTGACCACGCCGCCCCCTCCGCCTCGTCGATCTGTGCCGATAATAAGACCGTAAAATCAAAGGAAGAGGCCTCCGCGGCGACGAAAATGGCGCTAGGGATGGCTAATTTAAGGTATTTCTTTACATCGGTCCAATCCAAGGCCTCTTGAATGCGCCATGTTCCCAAAGTTGCGCGCGTGTCCTCTTTAAAAAACGTGATAGCCAACATCACAATAAGCTGTATCCACGCCGTGATAGCCATCCCGATCATCGTGTAGGTCACACCCAAGGGGGTGAGCTTCAACTGGACTAAAGGGACCAAAACAAACCCTACGGTTAGTGCGATTAAAGGAATCTGTGGCTGCATTTGATTATTCAAAAATTTAGTCATCGCGATTAGGATCATCTCTGGGAAAATGTACAGCGGCGAGAAAGTCAGGAAGTCCTCTGCGACCTGAGTCAGACTCGGGGTGTAGAAGTAGTGCAAAACATGTTTAAGGTCGAACAAGATCCAGCATAGCGGAATAAGCATAAAAATATTAAGCAACACGCCTCGCTGAAGGATCAGGCCCAACTCCGTACTCAGGGTGTTTCGCCCGTACTCGTGTGAGCACAGGGTATCCATCGCAAAGGTGAGCCCGATAATGGGGTACATGACGAGAATGCACATGATAAAGTACCCCACGGAGGCCCCGGCGAGGTCTCGCTCGCCGAGGTTGTGCCCGACAAAGGCCAGCGGCACGACGGACATGCCGAAGGTGAACAAAATCGACATGGTGGCGGGGGCCGCGAAGTAGACCAGGTC